TTACGTTGGACAAGAATTAACAGCCCGCACAAGATTTACCGGTGTTGTGAGAAGACGAATTTTACCAATATTTGTCAGTAAATTAGAAAACGTTAACCTGCCGTGAGTTGAGCTTAGTGTTGGCTTAATTCTCTTTTACTATAAATAGACTTCATTTCTATTTTTAGCTTATTCTGAGGGCGTTATTTTCTCTTTCTTATTCACTTTTACATATTTATCCATGTCTTATTTTAATCTGTTTCGAGAGCTAATCTCTGCTACTTTCCCCTCAAATAATTGTTATTACTTTACTAGTCCTGGATTCAGTTCACCGTCTTAACCCCTGGTTTTTTTAATGACTTAACTTCAACAAGTTACCTAATTATAGACGCAAAATATGTTGATAATTTTTATTTATTACGGGCTAAGCCTGCAGAGTGACTGCAATATGGATAAATCGAATACATTATTTTTTATCATAACTATATAGGTACCCAGCCTGGGTATATTTCGAAACAGTTATTTTGCAATAAGAAACTAGTTTTTTGAACTGAGTCTATATTTTTGGAATATCTGTATCCATGTCAAAGACATGGATAGACCCACTATAACTTTGCCATTTATTTTCCCGTTGTTAATATCATTTGAGGATACAAATTGAAAATGTCATAGCTCGTAGATATCAAGTCCAAGATGGTGTGGCCTTCTGTTTGGTCGCAGTTTCCTTTAGCTTTATAGTGTTGGTCCAAACTTGCTTTCGCAACTTGGTTGGAGCACCAGGAAAACCTTGTGGAATGTATCTAGTCCCGTGTCCTCTGCCATATTATTCATGTTTTTCAGTATTGGACGATTGGCTGGGTACATTCTTAAACGTTTCGCCGGCATCGTCAGTGAGGGGCATCATCGTAAGCACAGAATTACAACCTTTTACTTGTACTAACTCGTCACTTTGATAAGTTGTAACTCCGTACTTACGATTGCGCCTCTCACTGACGATGCCGGCGAAACGTCTTGGAATGTACCCAGCCAATGGTCCACTGCTGGAAATCAGGAATATTATGACAGAGGACACGGGACTAGGTACGTTCCACAAGGTCTCCCTGACGCTCCGACTAAGTTTCAAAAACAAGGTCGAGCCAACACTAGAATGTAATAGTTTACCTTTATCTTGATGCATTAATGCCAATCCATATCTTAAAAGCCATTATAGACTACTATTTAAAGACCCATGTAGTTCGATGTATTTATACATCCAATACTTTGCCTTTATGCATAATTTATAAATACACACCATAGGTAGCATCTCTTTTTATGTACAATAAATCGTTCTCACTCCTATCAGCCTAAATAACCTAAGGCGTCTCCTTTTTGCTTATCTTGCCTTTTTCCTGTTTATGCAATTCTATCTTCTTATAATCTCCTGTAAATTAAATCTTCAGCTTCCCTGTATTTTATCTGATTAGGCCCTTCCAGTTGCTCTCATGATCAGTCTGCAATGCATTCCGCTATTTATAATCTTTCTTTATACATTTTGTAATACAGAGCCTTTGGTATCCTTTTATTTTTACACTGGTTGTATTTCCCGTTTTTCCAATATACTTCTGCTCACAGTCGCCGCATGCAATGCAATTCACTTTTTT